ATGCTTTTTCCTTCTTTTTTTTTCTTCCTGTTATTTTCCCCCCCTTACTTACCGGAACTCATTTTATATTCTCTCTCCCTCTTCTATATATACCTAAACCTCTCCTCTTAGATTCTTCATCCATCCCTCCAGAATCAAAAAAACAACACCAATCAGCACAAATGGCTTCTTCTTCTTCTTCTTCTGATTTGAGGAAACTGATTCGGGTGTTGATCTTCGGAGTGCTTCTTGGTTACGCAATGATGTGGGTTCTGCTGCCCACCAACACTTACAAACACAAATGGCTTCCCAAGCTCAAATCCCGCTTCTCCTCCAACTACTTCGGCAAACAAGGTATACCTACAAATTGCGATTCTCCCTCCCTCTCTCTCTCTCTCTCTCTATATATTATTATATTGTCATGTATTTAAAATTCGATTCGATGGATCTGACGTGGCAGGGGTGATGATGCTGATATTCACGTTCCCGCCACTGCTGGTCGCCGTTCTGAGCTGCGTCTATCTCCACCTCGCCGCCAAGCTAAAACCTACAGCGAAAAAGAGCGACGACGAGGAGAAAGAGACACGTGTGCTGGCCACGTGGCGGAAGCCCATGCTGGTGAAAGGCCCATTGGGGATCGTGACGGGGATCGAGCTGGCCTTTCTCGTCATGTTCGTGGTGCTCCTCTTCTGGTCGCTCTTCACTTACTTCAGCTCCAGCTTCAAGTCCATCGACGCCACCGATCCGGCCTTCCTCGGCGGCCTCAAAAAGTAAAAAAAGCCCATTCCTGTTTTTTGGTAAAAAAAAAAAAAATCAATGCGTAATATTAGATAAGAATCATCCAGAATCAAAACGTAACGTCGGTTAAATCGACTCTAATTACTACCAATTAACCAAATTAAGGCGGGGGATAAATCACAGTATCTCTGTCTAGAAAGGGAAAGAATATTATACAGTACTAACTGCTGATTTCATTGAAAAATGGGATTAGGTGGCAGTTGAAGCTGGACCTGGGTGGGCTGTGGCTTGGGCTGGTGGGGAACATATGCCTGACGCTCCTCTTCTTCCCGGTGGCGCGTGGGTCGGCGGTGCTGCAATTCTTCGGCCTGACGTCGGAAGGGAGCATTAAGTATCATATTTGGCTCGGACACGCCGTCATGACGTTCTTCACCGCTCATGGCATCTGCTACATCGTCTACTGGGCTCTCATGGGCCAGATGTCTCAGGTGATTGCTACTTTAGTTTTTTTTTTCGTTGGTCTTAATATTCAAATAAAAAATGTGATAGATATTCTCATTTTTTGGAGAAAAAAAATGACACAATTTGATCTCCGATTTGGTATCTTATAACGATCGACTTGACTGGTGCGTGCAACTCATTTTTCTTACCGGACTAAGATCAAAGTAGATCGATCCGCGAGTTCACGCCCTTATTATATACATATATAGTGGATTAGTGGTCACGTTTTCCAGCAGTCATAAAAAGTGCGATCTGGGCCCATCCAATTTTCGTTGATCTCTCCTTTTGCCCTAGTTTTCCGCATAATTCCCTCTCATTGGGCCCCGCAACAAGTTCTAAATGGATACGTATATGGGCCGTTGACTAGTTTCTTGGCTTAGGAGTCATGTGACAGTTCCTTTTCTTCCTGTTTGTTAGTGGGAGAGGGTTCAGGTGGGCCCCTTTTTTTATTTCGTGTACGTACACGGTATATCTGCTGCTCCATTCCCCAAAAGTTAAATCAATGCAGTTGCGCTTGCGCAACCACATTTTTTTAATGTTTCCGAAAGAAGAAAAAAAATTCCATTTGAAATGGATAATATTATTAGTACAATATTATCCGCTTTACCTCAAATTCAAATCGACTATGTATCCGATATTGTAGATGGATTGTCCGTAACTGAAAACATATTTAACTACATATGCAGACGCTGAAATGGAGCAGAAGCGAGATATCCAACGTGGCGGGGGAGATCTCGCTTCTGGCCGGGCTCGGGCTGTGGGCCACCACATTCCCCCGCATAAGGCGGAAGATGTTCGAGCTCTTCTTCTACACACACTACCTCTACATCGTCTTCGTCGTCTTCTTCGTCTTCCACGTCGGATTCACCTACGCCTGCTACATGCTCCCGGGGTTCTACCTCTTCCTCGTCGACCGCTACCTCCGCTTCCTCCAGTCCCGCCGCCACGTCCGCCTGCTCTCCGCCCGCATCCTGCCCGCCGCCGGCCAGACCCTGGAGCTCAGCTTCTCCAAGTCCCCGGGGCTGAAGTACAGCCCGACGAGCGTGCTGTTTCTGAACGTGCCGGGGATATCGAAGCTGCAGTGGCACCCGTTCACCGTCACATCCAACAGCAGCCTGGAGACGGACGAGCTGAGCGTTGTGATCAAAGGGGAAGGGAAGTGGACGAAGAAGCTGTACGAGATGGTTTCTTCTTCAGCGGCGGCGGATCATCACTTTGATGTGTCTGTTGAAGGTCCTTATGGCCCTGCTTCCACTGATTTTCTCAGGTATACTTACATTGTTCATGTTTACGTTTATTTTTCTGTTAGCTCGCGCGCTAAAGAGGTAAGTAGGGCTGAGAAAACGGAACAGAATCGTTCGAAAAAAATTGTGGACCGAATCCGATCGTATAGCTAGTCTGGCGAAGAGGTTAGACCGTTGAAAAATGATTTTACATTGTCTATGGTCTACATAATAGAATATGTATTGATTTCTTGGTCTGGTCTAGTTTAGACTGTGATTTATCGAACCAAATCTTGAACTTAACGCCCACTTCTCATCAATTGGGCGTTTGCAGTTCAGTCGAGAGACTAAAGTAGCTCAACCCTAATTTTGCGAATCTCATCGGTCCTTCATTGATAAACCACACATCCACGCTGAGTAAAGAAACTGGTCTCTCTATACGCGACACCGATTTAATGTTTATGACGGCGTGTTATGGTGCAAATTGGGTTGCTCTGTCTTTGTGGTTTTGTTATTTACTTAGACTTATATGGTGTTTCAAATCATGCATGCGTGTTAGAATTTCTGCTTTAAGTAGGGAAAATTTTTCAGTTACTGGTTCGATTTTTTTTCCCCCGACCGTTTGACTAGACGAATCGTTATTTTTTTTTTTGCTTAACGTATGCTCTGCACGGTCTAGATTATTACCGAACCCGACCACACAGCCATGATCTGATTTGAACGGTATGGTATTTGGTATATATATGATCTATACTCTCATGCTTCTCTATCTGAATCAGGCACGAGACACTGGTGATGATAAGTGGAGGCAGCGGGATCGCCCCATTCATCTCCATAATCCGAGACCTCATCTTCACATCCTCCCACCTCCAACTCAAAACCCCACGCCTCATCCTCATCTCCTCCTTCAAAACCACCGCCGACCTCGCAATGCTCCACCTCCTCCTCCCCATCACCGCCGCCTCCTCCGCCGCCACCGCCAACCTCCGCCTCACCATCGAAGCCTACATCACCCGAGAGAAACAGGCGGCGGCAACCTCCCCCTTCCACAACAACAACGTTCGAACCAAGTGGTTCAAGCCTTCCCCGACCCACGCGCCCATCTCCCCGATCCTGGGCCCCACCGCCAGCTGGCTCTGGCTCGCCGCCGTCGTCTCCTCCTCCTTCCTCGCGTTCCTCGTCATCATCGGGATCCTCACGGGCTACTACATCTACCCGGAAGGAAAGAAGCATGGGGAAGCAGGGTTTCCCATGGCGTTGACCGCTTTCCTCTACATGCTCGTGTTGTGCGCGTGTGTAGCTGCGGCGAGCAGCGGTGCGTTCCTCTGGAACAAGAGGAAGAGCGGGAGGGATCAGACCATCCAGATAAGGAACGTGGAAGGCGCCACCCCGACCGCCGGCGGGTCTCCGGCCGGCGGTGGTGCTGTCTATGAGATGACGGAGGAGTTGGAGAGTCTTCCTTTGCGGACTATTGAGGAGGCCACGAACTTGCACTACGGGGTTCGACCTAACTTGAGGAGTAAGTAATTTTCTATCTCGTTGTTCTTTTGACTAATGGGAAAATTACATCTCGTATTTTTTTTTTATCGTGGTTTGACCGTTTTGTTGGATCTTAGAATTGTTGGTGGAATATTGTACGGAAGGAGGGAGCACGGGGGTGATGGTGAGCGGGCCGGCGGGGCTGAGGCATGAGGCTGCTGCGATATGCTCGAGCGGACTGGCCGACGACAGTCTGCAGTTCGAGTCCATTAGTTTTAGCTGGTGAAAAACGTACGTAGATACTGATTGATACAGGCATTGTCAAAAGGTTTTCAACTAAATGGGTGTCTAGCTACTTTTCCTAGCTAGTAATGTGAGTGAACAAGGAGAGCTATATAGCCGCGAGTGGATGTGTTTGGTAGCTTTGAAACACCACTTAGTTCATAATAACGAGAATGGAAATGTGTTTGTAATACTTTTGTGTGTGTGTTTTTGTCCCCTTACCACACGTTGTGTATGTTGTACTATGAATAATAATCTATGTCGTGTTACACGATCTGTCCAAATCCTTCAATGTCGGGAAAACAAAAATTCTGCATTTGGTTTTTTTTTCGAGTTTTCTGCCTTTTCTTTTGCTATTGTTTATTTTCATTTCTTCTCCTATTGAAAGACATTGTATAAGGGTGATAAAATAGGGTTACAAAGTGACAATTATATTTATATTCATCTTTTAAACTCTAGATTCTAAGTGTTTTTCGTGTCAAATGTCACTTTTGGGACAGTAGGTATCACGATGGGGATTGGAGCTCTAATGGCCAATGAGACCAAGTTTGAGAAATTTCATGACTAGGTAAAGAAGTAGTTCAGGGGCACAGCTAGTTGTGAAACACTTCGTTTCATATGTCACAAATTCAGTTTCACGACCGTGAAGTATGGTCGTGAAATGATGTTTGCTCACAAATATATAAGAAGCGTGTAAAGATTTTGAATCTAGGCGACGCTTTTGGAGAGAGAAACTGAAGTGTAGCTTGTTGTTTGCAGACCTGAGATATAACAACAGCTTAATGACAGACCGAGTTTCAGGAATACAAAGATTTATTAGTGGTTGATTGTGAACGGACTAGAGATTATTTCAGCTTCTCAGAAACTATGTTTGTACAACAGGAGATGTAAAGTAAAAAGACAACAATATACTTATACACAGATGCCAAAGCTACGAGAGCACAAGACCAATCGGCCAAAAAAAGAAGAATCAAAGACTGGAATGGAAAATTTAGGAGGAAGGATTCCAACAGAAGATTATATGTCACTTTTAGTATCTACACGAAATATAATTTGCCTGCATGGTAAGGTAAGAATAGACCGAGAGAGTAGTCCTCTGAGAACGCAACCAAGAATCTCATCTCTCCCTTCATCTTTGCTTTCCAACTCATCCACCAAACAGAGCCACGTTGAAAATGTTGCTTCTCAGTTCATCTCGTCATATGCGTTCTGGATTCGAGGATGAAGATAGCCGTTCTTCCAATGCTTGAACAAGGTCGTTGTACTCGGCAAATGTGGGGTGTGACTGAAGCAATATGCAAGAGGATCACAGAGCTCAAAGTCAGCTTTCAGGACATCTGATGTTTTGGTGGTATAGACAGAATAAGCTATAAGCAGATCCGTTACTAATGTCACCCGATTACCTGAAGAGTGATGCTATATGCTTTCCATAATCGTGCATCATGCTCGAAAAGATCAAAAAGTACCTGCACAAGAACCCCCGAAGAACAAACCCCAAACCAGTCAATTATAGTTTACATTGTATTCTTCCTAACCTAATGCAGTGAGACATCAGAAGAGTATACCTCTGATCGTCTTAAAAGGGTGGCCAAAACAACTATCCATTCCTTGAACTTGACAGAACACATGTGAGCCAATAGAAACTCTGCATCTAACCGGCTCTGAAGTGTACCCATTTGAAGCTGCAGTCATTAATTCGAGGTCACTAAAGGAAGAAGAAAGCAAATGCCAAATTGATTAATTAACAAATGACTCCAAGCAAGTAAGCACTGAAATTTTGCCTGCCCCAGGCTATTTGGGGTGGGTAAGTGGGAAAGGATACGACTATTTCTACTTCCTTGCCCACCCCATTCTTAACCCATTCTGTTCTAGATTTTCTCCAGTATTTACTCAAAAATACTCCTATTTAATCTCCAATCATGTCTCAACTCTTTCTTAGTTACCAGCCACCACTTAGTGAAGCCTTCATCTCTCAGATCGTTCCAATATTTCTTATATATTTCTTAGATGAGAACTGACTAGTTGCATCTATCTTCTTCAAGTTACATATCCAATGTCTCAACCAGCCCTGACTCTTGCCTCCTGCAAAACAACCCAAGCTCGCCCGTGCCAGTAAAGGGCCGAATATGGGCATCGAGGTCCCCATCTCGACCCATCCTTTGGCCATTTCTAGCGCCTAGCAAGCACCAGCATTCGCACTGCCAACAACTTTTTGTGGAAAAAGGGAGAAAAATGTTGATAATGATTAACTTATCATACCTTCTGTCCAATTAGTTCCAACCCTGACGCAAAATTCTCCAATCGAGCCGAGCCATATCGCTCTCTTTGCAAATATTCCTGCAATCACATCACAAATTCTCTATATTACAATTCGTGAATGATTAACTCATATTTTCGAAGTATATAGCAAGTGCCATGAAACTCTTTCTTACCACTAAATCAAATTGAGTGCCTTTTACAAAAGCAACCAGCTTGGAAAGCTCCTTTCCAGACATCAGATAGCTAGCATGGCTCTCTAAAATGTTCTTGACTGAGGCAATATGAGCATTCTGCTCTTTGTATGAGGTGCTGCATAAGTGGAAAGAGTTGGTTGATGACCCGTCATAGAAGTTTTGGATCAGGCCAAAAAAAAAAAAAAACAAGTTTCTCAGTGTAAAACCTCTTATCCAAAGACGACTTCTTGTAACTGGAGCGGAACAAGAAATAGCCCAAGAATCTAGGAGATGACGGCTTGTCTGAATCTGGTGATGTTGGCTCATAATCCTTTCCAGATCTCAGCAAGAATCGCACCTACGAACCAAAAAAGAATTGTGACATTGGATTCTACAGCGATTGAAGGGGAAAAAAGAATGATAAATCATCTCCTCAACCGTACCAGCTCCCCTGCAAGCTCATATAAGGATTCATCAAGTGTAGCCTGAAAAGTAGTATATCTCCATCAGATCAACTTGCAATGCCTTCTCTGGGGCCTGAAGAGTTAATTGACTTTGTTTGGCAGGGTGAATTATACAAAGTAATCTTAGCTACCTGTAGCAAACGTAAAGCACAGTACTGACTGACAGCAGGGCCTTCCAGTTTGGCGATCACCTGCAAATTCAACACATCATATCAGGCAATGTCACCAGTAACACATTCCTAGTTCAGAAATGCGAGAAACAATGACTGCCCATATTCCTCATAAGAAATCATAAGCATACTGAGAAGTGGAAACACATAAAAATGCGTACACAAAGCAGAGAAAATAAATCATAATTGAGAAGTTAAGTCGTATTTCAACAGAAAATTTGAGATCCTCACCAGTATGTAGCATGCCGCAGTGCGATACCATCTACGCTGAAAGCATTCTTCAAACAACCTAACATGTCGGGATGGTATCAAACAATTGAGTACATAAAAGATTTTGCTCTTTGCTTTCTTTTCCCCCAGGATGAGCACATGGAGAAGGGGAATGAAGAAGGAATCTACATTTGTATTCTAGGACCAGCATGGACGACATTCGATGTACGAGAAGCCAGCTTTTGACTGACGAGCCAACATCAACACGAATACATGGCAACACGTGCAATGAAGACGCACCAAGGGCAGCACGGATTACATGCTTGTTAAGATGTTATAAACAAAAACATTTTCTCATTGTCCTTATAATAGGAAATGCTGCCTATGTAACAATGAAATACTTTTGAAAATGGAAAGGATTATAGCTATTTCTTGAATTTTCTAAATAGTACCATCAGGCTCTAAAGCACTTGATAGATGAGGAATGAGGCCCCTCAAACTATCACCAGCCCTAGATTATTCTTGAATATGTTATGCTTAAAGATAAAAGAACATACTCTGTTGATCTTCCAGCAGCAGTGAACAAATCAGCCCAGTGTCGACCATCAGTTTTTCTTGCAACACTTACTACCACATCAAGGTACTCTGGGAAGTTTCTAATCAGATCACAGGTTTTGTCCAAAAGAGAATGACTGCCCACATGTCTGGGAACTGATAACTGGTTCTTATTCAAATGTTTCCTGCACCAAATATTGCAAATATGCCAGCATTTAGTTTTATATTTGCTTAATTTTACAGAATAGACACTGCATTGACCTAATATTAAGCATCTGTTCTGAGAAAAATGAAGAAAGCTGGTTATCAAGGACTTTAGAATTCGAGATTCAAGTTATAGACCAATACTGAGGTCATTGATGCTGGGGAGCTGGATCTTACGATACAAGATGGCAGGGCAGGGGATGCAGACAGAATATAATGCGATGGAATAAGATCCCTCTTCCTACGGAAAGAAAAAATAGTACTCCCAAGAAAGATTTCAAAGGAGTGTGGCACAGAGGATCTGCTTATTTTATATATGACAGAAATTTCTCTCCTCTAGCTCCAACAAAGATGTACCTCGAAATCTCAGCGTCAAATACTGTAAAGAGAAGCCACTCTAGACAGTGAGAGAAATGAGGCTTTTCCGCTGATAAGTGAGCTAACCGTAGAGCTTCTTCACTTTTGTTCCTCTGACAAAGAAAAAAACATAAACAATTAAAATTTCACTAACACTCTCTTCTCTTATGATATTTATAGTTTTTGAAAAGAGTGTAGAACTCTTCTTCTTTTGAGTATGGTAGTTTACTTGCTTATTTGAAAAGACAACTATGATTCCTGGCATATCTCGCCCATTTAAAACCATGATCAGCTTAAGAAGTGGCAGCTGGAAGGAAAGTGATACCTGAAGCAGGTGTCTAAGTAAGCAGTGCAATATTGTTTGGGCTTGAGGAGAAGGCTCAAAGCAAGGGAATTCAGTGCATGCTGAGAATGACATTCTCTGCGAGACACCAACAACGACGCCAACATTGGGAAGAAGCCCCAAAGGATAAACTTCACGATCAAACTCCAACTCTGGATCCAACTGAAGGAAACGCGTTATCAGTACATGACAGAAATTAAAGCCAAGACCTCAAAGTAAAACTGTGACACCTTCATCAAAATTGAAACTACAGTCAGATTTACCACATAACACAATTATGCAACTGTTTTGCTTAACTCAATACAGCTTAGGGTTCCAAGGAAGGTGGTGGCCGATTTACATATATTATAACTTAATGCAGCTTAGGTTTCTGTGAAAAGAAAATATGAATCAAGAAAATACCTGCAAGAAGTCCTCCTGTTTGAAAGGGTCAGCTCCAGAAGATGGATACCAGACCTGTAAAAGTAAGCTTCCAATAAACATTTACTTCAGAAAGAAAGAGACGCTAAGCAAAATCAAGCACTAAGTCCACGAAACTTGAAGAAACAGCAAAGACAGATGCTTGATTTACCTGCATTCCTCTATGACCATAATCCAACCAAGATACTTCCTCAATTAGATTTGTCTTCTCTTCTGATTGACCACAAGTAACCCAAAACAGTTCAACTGAGTCTGTCAGTTCCCTTTCACGTCCATCATCTAAATCCAGAAGAGAAAGCTCCCCGTTCGCTCTCAGTATCAGACATCTATAAAAGCAAAGGACACTCAGCAGAATGGACAAATGGAATTCCGAGCAATCGCAGCACAGACAAATACCTTGCAGGTTCTCTAGCTTCGACATCTGAAGTAGATGAAACGTGATTGTTCAATGCACTCTCTCTAGGGATCTGATCAGGGATAAAGCGCATTGCTGCAGGATGGCTCTTCGCTGTCATAATTGAGAGTTCCCGTACTGTAGAAAGCTGTTTGTCATTTTATCACTTAAATTGCATGACAGATGCAATAAATCAAGCGGCCTCATTGAAAGTCCAAGTTTCAAGACGATAACTCCTAATAAGGATAAGAACCAAATGTACAAAGAAAGTAGCTGGAAACATTATTTACCTCTAGATCTGGAGTATTTGATGGTGTTAGTTCACCAAATATCCGCACATGAAATATGTGGACATCAAACGGGCGATAAGTAACAAGTATATAATCTCCATAAACATCCATCACCATAGGCTTGGCGAGCAATGGTTTCCGGCAGAGCAAGGAACTCTGGTCAAGGTGATACCTTGGGTAGAAGAGCAGTTCATAACTGCACCAGTTCAATGACAAGACCATCAGCACAATCTAACGTTAGATTAGCAACAAACAGAAAGGAAACAAGATATTGAGAGACAAGTCAGAAGGAGATTCATCAGACGAGGATAAATGTCATGGCTCAATTGTATTAAGTTGAACCCATCAAAGAACAACATATCAGATTTTTCAAACTTCTATGATCTATTCATCCAGTATGTTTTGGTGAAAGAAGCTCTCAATAGATTGACACTGACAATGAACACACCCTTTTCTGGACCTGTGACAATTTAATTGACTAACAAGGGATGAATTTAGCTTCAACTGTGTGCCCCCACAGTCTTGTTCTCATGTTGATCGTTTAGTATTGCACAACAGGTCAATAGATGAAAACTTCACCATCATGACTTCTGACTTGACCTCTGACCACTAAACGAATCAACTCAGCCACCCTCTATCCTTTTTCCTTGTCCTGCCAACTAATCAATCATATGAAATGAAAAACTGCAGCAATGTGGCGAGCCCAATACTTCAGTACCAGGAAAAAGATAAGTGCCACAGCTTTCTCGCCATCAACTACAATAATTCACCAAGCCCTAAAATTCACTGGTAAAAGATCTTACAACGCTACCAATATACTAAACAGCCTCTAAAGTTCTATCCATTTTTCTTTTGGTCATGAAAACACCAGTAACTCCACAAACTAGTTCTGGGACCTCAGTTATGCAGATAGACAAAGTAAGAAGCCAAAGTAAGAAGCCTGGCAGGAAAAAATGCTTCAGTTATGCAGATAGACTTTTCAAATCACTTACGTATCAGAAGAATCAATATAGTTGCATACAACCACAATCTTTCCAAGCCATAACAGACCCTTGCATTGAATCTTCTGTTCCTGACTGATATCCCCAAACACTCTCCACTTTTTCAACCTTATATCATACAAGATCAACCCATGTAGACCAGCAACAGCCAAGTACATTCCATCCTTGCTAGCAGCCACATGCTGAACTGGCCAATTTTGAGAGATATAAGAGACCTGTACAAAGCAGTACATGTCAGCGTTGAGAAAATGAAAACAAATGCATATATGTGTTACTATTCAGATGAAATGTTTTAAACCGTAACTGGAAGGTTCAAATGCAATATCTTAAGTTCATCAGTATCTTCAGACTGCACCACAAGCAACCGATCATCACCATAAATGACTTGGCGAACATATGTCATGCCGGACACCCCCCGGCTTAGGCAGCATTTGCCAAAAGAAAATGCTATAATTCTTTCAAGAGACCCTTCCTCTGTTGCATACAGTCGGTACCCATATTCATCCCACTGTAATTTTGAGGTGCCGCCCATCAATGGCTCATATTTACATTCCGGGTTTGATTTAACTACTGGGGATGATACACTACTCAATCCAATTTGACGAACCGTTGACATTAAACGACAACCAGAGACAGACCAAACTGCAAGTCCCCTTAATTTCCATCCAACCGCAAAAGCGGAATTATCAGGTGTCCAGGCAATACAACTGACTGGTCCAGTTTGATCCACCGAATACCTGCAAAATCATTTTCCCAATGCAAAATAGCATTCTAGAATCAAATCAAGTGCTAGAAACAAGTGCTCATCTAAGAGCTTAGATCAAAATACGTAAGGTGAGAAAAACATGGATATCTCACCAAAAAGGTACCAGCTAGACTTACCCCCAGTCGTACAAAGACACAGTACGGATCAGTGAGGAGTTAGTCAGATCATACAATTCAATAGCACCTCTTCTATTACCAACGGCAAGAATTTGCTGATCTGACGCTACTGAAATGCAAACGGCATCGCCAGAGCCTAATGTTTTCTCTGATTTAATAAAGTCAACTTGCTTGAGCCCTTTCTTACTCACAGAGCATTGACACAGTTGCCCATCAGAATACAAGACGATTAACAACCTCATTGGCAAGCAAAGTTCCAGTGTCGTAATGGCAGACTTCCTGGCATGGTTGCTGACAAGACCTCCAGGTTCCCCAGCCAAAGTGATGCCATTTCCCGTCGGATTAGATGAATGGGAAATTTTGCCAGCATCACCTTGATAGGGATCAAGATCAAACGCCCCATAAAACTGTTGAACAATTACATGGCATCAGAAAAGAGGTTGCTGTATTTTCCTTGACAGAGTTCGAATAATTAGAGAGAACTCTAAGGAATGGCTGGACAATAATCATTCCTTCCCAGTATCTTATATTACCTCTGCCTTCCAGGACATACTATACAAAGAACCATTGGAAAGTCCAAGCAGCATACATTTACTATCCGTCACGATGTTACTCCTGGTGATGAGAGGAATGTAAGAATGAGAACCCAAACTCACAAGACAAAGAAGTAAACCCATATGTGAAATAGGAGGAGAAAAGGAAAAACAGAAAATTCTGCACTGGCACAAAGGAGAAAGAGTAGTAGCTATGCAACTTACACTGTCAAATCCTTTTCCGCGAAAGGCACCTGCTCACTGAGTAGAAGAGATATATTAGCCAGGAACAACCCTGGTGGCTGCTTCCCTCCAACGTGTAATCTTTTCTCTGTAAAGTGGACCTTGAATATATGAAGAAAGAAAGAGGAAGTCTGCAACAAAAGAAATGCAAAGGAATGAACAACGTTCAACTCACAGCCTGAGGAATGAAAATGAAGATTCAGCGGATGTCTTTGCAATATGAGAATTCATTTCAGAAATGCTCTAATTTGAATTACAAACCCCCAAAATTTGGATCATGAGCCTGCATGTAGCATAGTAATGAACCAAAAAGAAATGGGGATTCCATTCTCACGAAGCAGAACAATTTACGATGATAAATTTCAGCTCTCTTCTGACAAGCATAACTTGTAATCTATAAGATTATTCTCAAGAACACAGACCAGCAAAGACAAGATTAACAAACATGACACCAATTCTTGACAGGATCCTGTCTGCACAAATGTTGCCAAACTAGACTAGGATCCCTCCTAAACACAAGCTCTGAAGGAAGACAAGAAGAATGCTACTACTCTACACAAGTTGGACTGAGCCTCAGTCTAAAATCTGACTGCGTACAGCAACTACCAACTTTGATACAATAGTATGAAGACACTACTAGTCCATTGTACTAGCAAATTAGTGATCGAATGGATATTCCAATTCAGGAGAAACCAAGAAATTGGACAGAAGGAAGCCATGAACGTACAAGAATGGCGATCAATTTGGAATCAGGACTCCACACAGCTTGCAAATTCTCCCCTTCCTTCTCCACCGACATGGCATCCCTCTTGTACTTGGCCAACCTCACTTTCCGCTGTGCAATCAACAATGTCAACACGTTCAAAAACCCCCAAAATTCAAGAAAGATACAACACCGAATTTGCAAACAACACACACCTGAGAGGAGCTCCAGAGCTCGAGGTGAGAAGGAGAGACGACGAGCAAGAGACGGTTGATGATTCTGAGATAGATGATCCGCTGCGTGGAAGGGCAAGATCCTTGGTCCAGAGGGATGACCTGCGGCCAACCGTACGCCATATACATCTTCGCTGAAGGAGTGAGTCTATCAAACCGAATCGAGAATGGAGATTTGATCTGCAGGCTGAAGGAGGAGCTAGGACTGGAGCGAGAGAGATCCGAAGCATTTGCCCTCACTCGCTCTCGAATTGGAGGAGAAAGATTGATGATACTGTCTCAGGAGCAGCGGCCCAGGTGCGCCATTTTTCCCAGGTGGTAGATCTCAGCGCAGCAGCAAAATACAAATAAAAAAAAAATACGAACAAAAAGTGTCTTGCTTTGTCAGTTTGGCTTCCTCTCCGCCCGCTTCTTGATTTCCATGTGTAGATCTGAATTCTGAAGCATTTCCAATGCCGTCCCTTTCCGGCCGGGATGGGGTGGGGTTTCTCGACCTTAGAGGCTTAGACCATCTAGGTGGGAAAAAATAAGGATGATCAAGGTGGATTTTCTTTTTTTACGTGGAGAAAAAAAAAAGAGACTAAGAGAGCAAAGAGATAGTTTTTGCAAAATCAATTGAATATTAATTTTCATTTAATTAAATAATAATTCAATTATTTTTTTTTCATAGCTAAGAATAATTAACTCTTTCAATTTTTTATTAAGACAAAAAATATTTACAAATAGTTTTATTATTAATATATCAAAGAAAATCATACATAATTGGTAAATTTAGATTACTCTCAACAACATATTAAAAACATATTTGAACCATAGCACATGGATTCATAAAAGCGTATGTTTTTTCCGATCTAAATAATGCAGATTTTCCATGAATAAGACTTGGTTTTGGCTCAGCGTGTTATATTCGATGCGGGTAAGAGAAGACCCCGAAGAATGGACAAATTCATTTTCTTAGGAACACGTACAAGATTCGTCACTCCAAAAAGGATAATGGTAACTCCACTACTCACTATTTCATTTATTAACTATTCTAAATTTAAAGCAACATACATCAAACTTCAAAGATTGGGGGTCGGGCCGTCGGGGTATAGAAGTCATTGTATATAGTCCCCCAAAATTGGACTTGGATCAACTTGGTACGTAGTTATGATTTAATCTTTTTGTATTTGATACCATACTTTTGTATGAGTGTTCAATTGAGAAAGATCCTTACTCATTATATCTTGTTTATGATTATTCTTTTCCCTTGCTTCCCTCACCCTCTCATGCTCTTCTCTAACGATTATCAATCTTGTGTGAGTTGTCGAAGAAACCGTCACGATATCATACTCTTTGAGAAATCCGACATTGAAGAATCCACAAGCCTCTTTTTTTATCACGACTTTCGAGATGATTGATGACATAAAGAGTCGTTGTTGTATGAAGACTGAGGCTCTCATTTTCATCAGAAGTCATGTCTAATGAAAATCCTTCAATTTGTAGAATGCTGCTTTGGGGTTAGACCATTGTTACACGAATTTTGGACAATGTTTGGGGATATTCCAACAATCGTCCATCTTCCATTCCTTCTTGGTGTCATACATGAAAATTACATATGTTCGCTCAACATAGACAATTATTAATTTATATTAAGTGACAATTATATAACTATTTTAATAAATTTATATAAGAAGTTGACTAACCACGTTAAGTATGTTAGAACTGCTTGCTGGTACAATGGTTGCTCTCATCCAAGCCACATTCCAATTTCCACATTAATAGCGTATCATCTTTACATCCAATTGAAGCGACATCGGTTCGAATGGTGACAAATCCTTTGTTGCAATGTTGAGCTCCAATTCGAGCCCCAAAATGTCGGTGATGCTTTATAATTACCGACGACAGTATCCTCTGAAATTTCATGTCAAAACTCACACAAAGCTCTATCCTCAACCTTTTCAGTTTGGAGTGCGAAAGGGTGTAGATGACATGATGAAAATGGCATTGTGTTTGGAAAGAAGATAACTTTTTTAGGAGAAGAAGTGGGGAGTTGAGAAGCGTAGAAGAACGAGAATAAAAAGATATATTTATAGAGCTAAAATAAAAAATATTCGATGGAAAAATGGTTGTTGGAGAAATTTGGTCGTTGGAAGCTGAACCCCACGTTCTAAACACACCTCACACTAACTAATCATTTTTTTAACAAAACAATTTTCCAACTATATGTGGAGGAGTGTCGGCACTATGCGTGCGCGACATCAACCTCTCATGGCAGTTCCACCCATCTTCCATATAACATATTAGCCAAATCTCATATCGACAAAGCACGGGAGAGATCCATGATTCATAAATAAGAAACCGACCTTAACTGACAAGACGCGTTTTGGTGGGGGTGAGATGAATGAGTTCTCGTGAGAACTTTGAAATTAAACGTGGTCAGTATGAAGTACAACAAGGATGGGTGACCTAATGAGAAGTCACCTTGAACTGCACCTCAAGTCAAAAACCGTGAGGGTCGAGGTCCAAAGCGGACAATATCTTCATCGAGAAAAGATTCAAGATGTTACATTCTCATTTTCGATTTCTTTTATCATTCCCCCTTATTGCGAAGCCAAAATGAGTATTCCTCCAAACCACTCCACTATTTGGATTTAGTCTCAAGACTATTAATCTTCTGTTAGACCAAAGAGCAATGTAGTATCCTTGTTATACAGACAATAAATAACCATGAAAGTTCATGGGCCTCCCAAGTTTCGGAGACAAGTTGTGAATCTTGGTGGATCCTTGCTACGGCGTTGGGCTTTTGTTTTGAACCAAGAATTAAAATGCGTTGTGTCTCCTTTTTTTGGGGAATGGTAAAGCTGGAGACGCGGGGAAGAAGCGAGTTCGAGAATTACATGTGTCACCATCCATCCGTTTTTTCTACTAATTAATATATAACAACATAATAAATACTAATACAAGAATGAAAGAAACACGACCATCAACTCCATGGCTCATCCATTGACCTCTCAAAATCTCAACGGAAATCCAGAAGAACCTTACTTTTTTTCCTTCATCTCTCTTTATATATATAAACAAAAATATCTCCATTTTTCTTTTCTAACTGACTCTTCTTGAACAAAAATTCCTTCATCAAGAAATGGGGTTTCCAGTTGGGTATACAGAGATAATCATGCCAAAGATTTTTGTACGTATCTTTTACTTCCTGGGATTCCTACGTGGCATTTTCATTTCGGTTTCCACATTTCTCGGCCTCACCGATTTCATCGACCCCGCCGCCGACGACATCTGGCAGGACTACTCCCCGCCGTCACAGTCAACGATGATGACGATTCAACACCACCACCGCCTGCAAAATCCGCCGCCGCCGACCACCGCGATGATTCGCGAGATCCTGCCGGTGGTGAAGTTCGAGGACTTGGGGGGCGATCGGCCGGAGAGCTGCGCGGTTTGCCTGTACGAATTCGGACGACGGGATGACGTCAGGTGGCTGGAGAGCTGCCGGCACGTGTTCCATCGGGATTGCTTGGATTGTTGGATGGATCAGGAGCGGTCCACGTGTCCGCTTTGTAGGATGTCCTTCGCGTCGGGGGAGTTGGATCGACGGTCGTGGGCCACGGTAGGCAACGTGGGCAAACGAAGGCGGTTGATCTGCTAAAAAAAATTAATATAATTAGCTAAACTAATATATACCCGCTTGTATATATTATATATACATATCATATGGAATGGGGAAAAAAACGAGTTGAGGAAATTGGATTCTGGTGAACTCTCTTTTTTTTATTATAAATCAGTTTCCCATTTTTCCTTTTATTTAGACTTTTAATTTATTTGAATTGTGTCTGTCTTGATCTTTCTATGGTTATTTGTTGTGTTAGCACATCTGTTTTTGGATTGTAAACTGCAAGGCAATGTAAGAGAAAGATAGCTAGTGAAGATTGTTAAATGCTTGTATATGACATAAACATGTTTATATATGAACACTTAGTACTATAGTTGTAACATATGTAAGGTTGAGCATCTACGGGTTTCATAACCCAAAACTCGCACCCAACCCAAGAGAGGCGAGTTCAACAAAATAAAACTCTCTCTGAATCTTAAACCTTAATTGGGTCGAGTTACAATTATTTTTTCCACCCATAATTTCAGAGGTGTGGTCTAGGGTCCAGGGAGAGGTACATAATCCCTAGTTACGCACTTATGCATAAGCATATCTGGCCTCTTGATTTCGAGTGAGGCCAGATTTAAGCAATGAGATTTAAAGATCTTTTATTTTTTTTATTGTTTAATAGACTTGTATCTTCTTCATTTTTCTTATCACTTTGTTTCACAAAAATTCGTACCATTTTGTATCACTTTTGTTTTTAGCTCAAATTGTGGAATTTTTTACACAAAATGAACAAGGTCATTGTGATCTATTACGATCTAAAAAAGAGATTATAGGTGGTAAATAACAATTAGTATATTCCTACTATTAAAGTGGATGCAATTTTGAGAGCACGATTAATCTAATTATTATGTGAAAAAAAACCGAATTACGACTAAAAAAAGAGATATTGCCCGTTAAAATTATTTGAGGGGAAAAGTTTATTTGTCTCCATGGACAATCAATGAGGGTTACTAATGGTTCTGCAAAATTGAGTTATTGACCGGTTTTACTCCCCTAGTCTCTAGGCTATGGATGGAGGAGCTTGGTGAGTAGTAGTAGGTGAACGATTAGGTTAGATCTTTTATGTTTATGTCCCGATATAAGGAAAAGGTAATTTAACAAAATACTGTGTATTTGTTAAGTTTTCTTTCAAATAAATTATTTTTTAATGTTTAGGGAAAATTTTATTTTAAACCTCCCGAATTCAACGAGCTTGTTATCCGATTAGGGCTTGGCTGGCCATGCTGGCATTTGCGCTGATGTTTATTCTTATCCGGGTAAATCTAACAAACCTACCTGAAGTAGGGAATAACAAAGGATTATTCATCCGAACCAATAAGTTGTGATAATTTTGCCACCCTAGTTAGGTTGGAACCAAAATATAATTCTTGGTTCTAGGTAGGGATGGTAGTTAAACTCAAATTTGCTTATAATCCAACCCAATCCGATTCAGTTAAACCGGGTGAAACAAGACAATGATGGGTTTTAGGTTGTGCGCGCGGGTTTTGCCTGTGTTTTTGGAATAGGTGGGCTGGATCGATTGCAGCAACTATTGTCAAAACCCGACCCGCGCACCAGGAAAAAAAAGAGACTTTTATTTTGCGTCTAACCCTGACAATGTAAAAATTTCATAGACGTTATTAGTCTTTATGACAATATATATAAACCTAATAATATGGATAAATTTACGGATCATGTTATTATTCATCTTGTAGGAAAAAATTCGATAATATAATTATAAAAGAATGTGGGTGTTCAAAGGAATTATTCATTGTTATGCCTGTGAATTACCCATAGATATACCCATGCACAAGTTAGGTTGAGTTTTCTCTTCCAAAACCCAATGAGTATATTTTTATCCCGATTTTTAACATGTGCACTCTATGAAACAGACTCGACACTAAGAAATTTGACCTAACCACGTCTGTCTGTAGTTAGAAGTTAATTAAATACACAATAAGCATTTGCTAAATTTTTTACACGAGTTATTCTTAGGAAAGGGGAAAAAAAGTGATCAAGGATGTACACCTATAGATGGTATAGTTTGGTATCAAATTAAAATTTTCCATGGGAAAAAAAGTAGAGGATGGTATATCTACAATGGATTTTTATGTACATTACGTATGCTAATAATAGAGAGGATGTATGTTATTTCGTCGTCATAATATACAAAATTATAATCACTTTTTGTAGTCCGGCGGTGGATAAGCACTCGGCGGTGGTGGGTACGACGGAGGATATCCCGGCGATTGATTGTATCCGCCCGGTGGATATGCATGTGGATTGTATCCGGGAGGCGGAAGAGGGTATGAGCCGGGGTGAGGGTATCCTCCCGGCGGCGGACCATATCCCGGCGGCGGCGGAGGAGGGTACCCACCGCCAGGGTAACTGGCCGGCGGGTAGCCGGTGCCGGGATACGGCGGCGGTTGGCCTATGCTGCCGCCTTTCAGGTTCTCCTCGTAAGGCGGATAGTGAACCGACGGGGGAATTGGCTGGTCAAGGCGTGACATTTGTTGCATTGGAGGAACCGCCATAACTGGAGGAGGACCAAACTGACCATCTCTTTTGTCCATTTCAACTTTGTGTTGAGTCTGCATATTTGTATAATCCATTACCAAGAATGGTTGAAGCTAGCTTTATGAATGTTAAATGTATATATATGTAGTAGAATTCATCTAGGGTAAAAAGTTTTGAGGGTTGTAGTTGAAACTTACTTGAAGGCATGGACAAACCCTACCCAAATAGAACAAAGGGCATTGGATTAGTAGGTGCCCCTTTTGGAGATTCTCTTAAAACCGCGTTGATGATGGAAGAAAAAAAAATTTGAATTTCGATCGAGTACTTACGAGCAATAGACGATGTCGGACAAGCAGGTCAGGAGGTCGGCAAGGTCTCCTATTTCGTCGATTCCGGTTAAGCATGCAACGCAGGAGCATATGCAGGCCAATTGTTGGAGGCAGAACATGAAACCCTTGAGGGGAGGGAAACGGATGTAAATTGTGTCAATATTTCGTTAAAATCCCCAAGCAAGCACCAGATAAGTTCACTGAAAAAAGAATAAGGAAGGTAGAGGTGTAGTACTATCATGCAGTTGTCACATGGCGAAGTCTGAATGTTGAATTCATCTTGTAATAAGAAGCGTGTAGAGGCAACTGAATTCGAGAAGCAACAAAATACCTAATAGATCGTGAGCCTTTTTGTTAGTGTTCTTGAAATACACACAAGTAGAGACCAAAGAGGTCCATGAATGATTTTGTTCATATTGCAAGAAATGAATAATCACATACTCAAAATGAACGTCGTTGGTTTTTTTTATCATTTATATTTACCTCGGAGCATAGACAAAATTCAGGGCAATTGCTTTCCCCACAGTTCCCACTGCATGGCATGTAGCCAGCACAACATGTGTACCTAATAAAGCATGGTTGTATACAAATTATGAATATTGTTTTGTCCCCCTCCAAATTCCATGTGTGTTCTAAGACCAGCAGTTCTAGCAATCAACTCGTTTTTTCCCCCCAAATTGGAAATACACTATTATCTTACCTTGACAAGTCATTGTAAAGAGCTCGTTTACGCAGAATGTACGAAGCACATGGTCCACTATATACATAAAAAACACAAAGTAAGAAAAATCACTTATGATGGTCAGAACATCCAATCCAAATATAGAATTTCCAAAGAGATAGAATTTAAAACACATTTTGTGGTCTCAAAATTCTTTGAATTGGGTTCCTTGCTTGGCCTGCCATGTTCCCTTTTTCCAACATATATAAGAGGTTTTCCATTGAGAAACTATTGCATTCCTCGACAAGTAAATTTAAAAAAGAAAAGGTAAAACACTAACCAAGAAGGTAGAAAGAAAACTCACCATACCAACGCAAAACAACAAACTGCATAGAGGCAAAAATAGGGAAAAAAAGAGATCAGATAATTATATAATGATACATTAAAGGTTTAGAGAATATGAAATGATGAATACTACTAATTGGCCACTGAACAAACCAAGGTTTCTATACGAGTATGATATAAAACAAGAAAAATTAATTGTGCTATGCTCGATACATTTCCACGAAAAACTTGAACGATGTGAAAATCAAAAAGGTATATATAGATATAGTTGATACTTAGATAAAATAAAAAATAAATGATAATGCAAAGAGTAAAACCAAAACAAAAAAAAAATAATAGCAACAAAGACTAATGAATTATTTGTCAAAGGTGTTATGAATGTCATGGGAAATAGTTATGGAAAACTTACAAGGAGCATCGGCTCCGACGGCACCCAAGAGATCGGTGTGCCACATATTCCTATAATTCTGGCGCAATTGCATTTGCGCCATTTTCTCGGCGGAATTCATCTTGAAATCCCAACGTCAGCAAGATGATAAACAAAGAAAAATTAAGATCACGAAGAGATTTCAAGAGTTATTCCGAATAAGAAAAAAAAAATAGTACAAACAAAAGGGGGTAAATATGTACGAGGATTGAGGGAGGGAGGGAGGAGGAAAGGCAGGATTCTTGGTTTTTATAATTCCTTGTCGTAGTCTTCCAAAAATGGGAGTGGATTATGGACGAAACAACAAAAAAGAGATTGGGAGGATCGTATTGCACATCAAATATTAGCCTAGAAGAGTTTAGCATTGTTAATCTTCATAAGAAACTTCAAATTTATTTAGTATTTTAAAAAAAAAAAATGAAAAAATGACATTAATTTCATTTACCTAAAGTATGTCGTACATGGTTGCGTTTCAGGCAATGCAAACCATGCCATTCATGGGTCTTGCCTTCACAAAATTATTGCAAACTCTAGAAGGTATCAGAACGCCCGACGCTTTAGGGTTCATACAATGGTCTCGACTCCATTGTCGATGAGTCGTGGATGCGCAAAAAACACCACAAGTTAGGGAAACAGTAGAGGTACTTCCGTACTTGTGGAGGAATTGGAGCTTTTCAGTTTCGATCTATTGATAATGAGCAGACAATTTATCACATGTTTAAAATCACCACCTTTGGTAACCCTCACTATCTTAATCTCAATGAAGGTTTAAATCGGTCTATTGGATCATACTTTTTATATGGCACTAACTATACTCATTGTGCTCTATCTCCTCCGAACGAAACCAACTGCGCTAACATTTAACTAGTGTCTAACTGAGTTAAGTTTGTGTGTAAGTGGTAGAGTAGAGAGATATGGGATTTGGAGGATTCAAAGTGAAAATTATTGACCAATTCAAACCCCCTACAATACTTCATATTGGGGGAAAATGGCTCTTCTTCCTTTTTATTCATTTGGTTTTTACTGGTTGGTTTCATTTGGGAGAGAATGATTGAAGCTTTTAGACTTAAAGGTAGATGACACATTTGGTAACTGATATTACTAAATCATGTCATGTTTAGTCACTAGAAAAAATTAATATAAATTTTGTTCACTCGAATTACTGAAACATGTTACATTTAGTCACTCTCTCGTTAGTTTCTGTTCAACTCCATTAACGGAGAGTGACTAAATGTGACATGTTTCAGTAATTCGAGTGACATTCATAAGGGGAAAAAAAAAGTAATTCGAGTGGTCGGAGTTGGACGGAGGCTAACGGAAGAGATTAAATATGACATGTTTTAGTAATTCGAGTGATCAAAATTAATATTAATTTTTTGTAGTGACTAAAGTAATCCCAATTACAAAGTGTGGCATTTACCCTTTATAATGACATTTGAAATTCATCCTGGTATTTGAGCTAAATTCAAATCCAAAGAATCCAAATACATGCTTGTAATCCTTGAATTCTGGATTCCAAATCGCTCTGCTGGTTGATGATAAAAAGAAAAAATTCCAAATCTCAAATACATGGCCGAAAAGAAAATACTTCGTATAGTCTAATGTTCATACTCCTATAAAGAATAATTCGAGGACTTGAATTGAAAGGGAAGCCAACAGACAGGACGACAGTCACCATATAGTGTCACGCAACAATCAAATTTTTGGTTGCCCACGAAATATCAGATAGAGGGCAAGTCAATTACAAGCAAACATGCAGTGGACAGACTGCAGTCACGCAAACAGAGGGAACTTCTCAAGCCACAGAAGCCACCATCAACGCCAGCCAACGGCAACAACTTCTTCCAAAAGAGTGGGATTTTGTAAAGATCTTCACTTTAACACGCTGCGGGTTTCAAGAGCAACATATAAGTTACATAGATCATAGATGTGAAGATTCATAATACATCTCATTACGATGTATGGTCTGGCTTGAAATAGCTACTAGCCACCTAATGTGATTTGCAAAAAAGTTCAGTAGAAATAGAAATGTCACCAGGTAAACTGCTTAGCAAGCAAGTTTATGAATTTATACAACCTTGAATCTAGCTTTCAAGTTGGCTAAAAGCCTCTAGTGGCAGATTCAGGAGCTTCAACTAGGTGCACAGGGTTTGTCAAATTTACTATCATGACGGTCGACTAGAAATTGTTTGACATTTGCTTGTTGATGTATTAGTTATCCACTCTGGAAGACGGTTGCTGAAATATGCTGTATTACTTTTTTTTCCCCAGTATCCTATACACTTGTATCAAAAGGCAGGCAGTATGCACACATCGATAGACTACAAGTTATCTCGGTCCGAGTAGAGAGACTCACTTGTATAAATAGGCAGCAATGCCCAACACGAGGCACAAGAGGATGATGTCGATACAAAAGTTGCGGCTGGATCTTAGCTGAAATGAAATCCAAATAAGAGTAAATAAGGTGCAAGACCAGTGGAAGCAGAGATTGGGAAAAACATGTGTGTCCAACATCACAATAGCAAAGAAGGCATTTTACCTGGTTTACAGTATCTTTGAGTCTCACATTAGTATTTCTGAGGTCCGATGATGCTTTATCAACCTAAGATTATATGACAAAATCCAATTATGCCGAGATGCAAACCTTGAGATTGTTCCAAGACTCATAAAGAACAAAAGGCAAGTTGAGCAGCAATTCGTCCTCCCTGACACCAAAAGATGCAGTGGACATTCTACATAGCATTCTCCAAGATGCAATATAAAGATAATAATCTCTCTTTTCATATATAGCATATTTCCAGTAACTGGTTTTTACCACGAAAATCCCTTCACTTGAGTGTTGAACATGACCATGGGGATACTGGGTCCTGATCCTAGGATCTAATACAATCATGCCATTCATTAATATTGTTAAGCCTCCTATCTCGAAACCTAGTTGTAGGGTTCAGAAATTTTCCAACATGCATACCTTCAGAGAACAAAATGCACAAGACAGGAAGCTATAAACCAAAAAAACAGTGAATTCACAGATAAACCACCACCTTATTGATGCAATACTCTGAGCCTAAAGGATAAAGATAGTTGATACAGTTACAAAACTTATAGAATACCTTCTCGTCAATTTCATCAACCAGGGGTACTTGTCTTTCCAATTCCTGCATAAAAAAGGCGGAGGTGGGAGATGGAAAAAACAATCTAGCGTGATGAAACAATGTATAGAAAGGACATCAACAATTATTTAGATAACTGTATCAAACAGACCTCATTCATATCATGCGCCATGTCCTTTAAAGTATCCAATCCTTCAGCTATAACATCTAAACCTTCATCCTGCGCAGAGTTGACAGTAACTTAGATAGATCACCACTGGGTTTTTATCTAGAATGAATCATCAGCTTGCTCTAATGAACCATGAATGACTGCCTCTTCCAAAAATTGCATCAAGTAATTGCACGGAAGTTTCACCCAGCAATGCAGATTCAATACACAGTAAAGAGTTGACAACCAATTAAGACGACGCACCTGTTTCATTTTACGCATTTCGTATTCCTGCCTGAATCGGTCGGTCTCTTCAGTGTTTTGGAAGTAATCACTATCAAAACTGCCATCTGAAAAAGATTAAGAAACATGGTCATTTAGAAGTCAGTTAAGTAGGTTATCAGTGGTAGAATTTATGATCAATCCGCAAAAACATAATGTAACCAAATTAGGACTTAACACAATCAATTTGCTCAAGAAAAACAAATGGTGAAATAACTTGGGACAGTCGATTGATTACCATAGTTTGAATTAAACTTAATTCCAGTAGATGCTGAAGCTCCTCCATTGCTGCTTGGTTGGGCTGCAGTCGTGGTTCCATCAGGCACCGACGCGATCCTATCTTTTAGTGCAGAAACCAAATCACTGCGAGCCTCAAGCTCTTCCCTCGAAAGACCTCTGACCTACAAGTAGTTGTTTGATCGCATCGCCAATCAGCTAAGGCAAAGAACTCCAATGACCGGAATTCTACTTAATCAGGTTACAGAAAGTAATGACAATACCAAAAACAACAACAGTTTTTCCTTTTCTCCCTTCATTTTCCCGCGAACCAAACAGAACCATCTCATCACTGGAACTGAACCAAAGCTCAAAGGGGGAAAAGAATCGAAGAGAGAAATGAGAAATGATACCTTCTTCATAGCAAGTCGCTGCAATTTCGGAATCTCGTCAAGCAACCGAGCTTTGGTCCTCCGGATCTCGGCATTGATAGCAACAACGGCAGCCCGATTCTTCGCCGATGCCACAGACTCCGCTTTCTGGAAATCAAATCAATGCACAGAAATTATACCGCCAGATTCGGGATGCTTCAACATTCGGTCCTTGGTAGAAATCAGTCAACGCATCAAACAGAAAACAGTTTGAAGGAGAAACAAAATCGATCACCTCGATTGTGGAGTCGAGTTCGGCCTCGACTACGGCGTAGAGGCGAGCGAAAGCATCATCGCCGGAGACGTTAAGTTCAGCTTGCTTATCCACATCGTACTTATCGAACTTCCGGCAAATCGAGTCGACTCTAGTTATCAGATCGATCACGCTCATCTTCCTCCTCTTCGTCCTCCTTCTTAGACTTGTTTTTCTTCTCACTTGACAATGTCGTCGTCTTCTTACGTGAATGTAGCTGTATTACAGTTGGCAATGGTGTAAAAGACAGCGGAAGGACTGCCGGCCGACGGAACCGAGGGAGGGGAAAGAAGGAAATGAGCGTTTTGTGGACAAATTTAAAAGTTATAAACAAAGGTTCCCTAGGAGTATGGTACGAAACTCTTGTTTTAGCTTTATACAACTGGGCATAAAAACGGAATTCCATCAGACGGAAGAGCACCCATATTTGTAACTCCCTATCTCTATCTTGACTATGAATTAAATCGATTTTAGAGTATAGTATTATAGTCTAATTTTTAATGGATAAGCTCTAGACTCAAACTCGAAGTTCTATGTAATAGAAAATATTAATTGACGATTGAGATTAATCGAAGTTTAGAAAAATAGATCTTCTCATTTTACCCAAGTAGAAACCGAATTAGCTTACCTTGCGTATGATATTTCATAATAGTTTCACAGGTTATAGAAACATAATCAGAGTAAGATAACAACAGTTTAAGTGAGGTATGACACTACTTTACGTATCGAGTTCCTTGTGTAGGTTTGTCAATCTTCTCTTGCAGATTTGCAATTATAGCTTAGTAAACTTAGATATAAGAAATTTCCGGAGTATAATGCAACCTTAATATTCCTAAGAGACTTAAAAATGTCATCTGGGATATAATGTTTTATCCAACAAACAACCGTCTCATTTACTCTGTCCCAAGTTAGATAATAAGGATATGAGATACCTGGTACTTGAATCATGCCAAGTACAAATCCCAGCTTGCGTTTTTGTGCAAAGAGCTACCTCCATTGACTCTAATTGTCATCGTTGTGCTTGAATCGAATGACTATCGGAAAGGATTTGTCGCTTTTATCTACTTAAAAGGGGTTGGAATAAGGTTCTTTATAGCGTGGTGACGCGATCGCCATTTTCTTATCCTAAGATAATCCGATGTCGTGTTGGCACTGCAGAGTCAAATCATTTGTAGAAACCAGATTCTAGTGAAACGTTGCTGGTAAGCGAACTAAGTGAAAGGAAACTTAACCAGGTTTACACGTTCTTGACCTACATCTCCATTTAAGAAAGCCATTGAAAAACACTTGGGAGTTGCAGGGAAACTATGCACCAAATACAGCCTGGTTTTGACCTCCTACTTGAATAGGCATCAAATTATCTGATACGGATCCAAATAAGTCACCCAATAATGTTACCAAATAATTCAATGGGTCGACATATTCCTACGTGACTGATTTCCCAAAAATCAACGGTTATAATTTTTGCACTCGTAGTAACGAAAGATAAAGAGATCGAAAGGAAAGAAAACTTGATGGCATAAACGCAATGTGCATGTGTAAGGGCCTATTTTTGAATCTGAAAGCAAAACAGCGGTAAAGCTGTACAAAATCCAGAGGTCAGATCCAACGAAGGACATCTCTCTTTGAATTCATCTCTTGCAGTCTCGTGCACCAGATCCTACGTTTTAAGATTGGCGGCCTAATACGAAAATGATGATCAAAGCGAGCAAGCAAACCCTAAGTCCTAACACTGCCTTGAATTGGTGACTTTGGACTTCGAAGTGCATCTTCAGGGGGGGGGAAGAAACAGAATGCAGGAAAATCTACACAAGAAAGAGAAGCAAATTCACGCCCTGAGAATTGGACAAAACTTCCAGTCACCGAAAAGCTTACTTCCTGCCGTTTTGCAAGGGACAGCGGCGAAAGGGTGGCCGCAATACCAGGTCCCATATCAAAATCTCAGCTACAGCCAGCCAGACTGACACTGCATATCACCGTTTTTTCCTCGACTTCTTTGCAGAGCCCAAGATGGATGCAGAATGCCTAGAAGAACCATTGACTCTCAACCCAGACTCGTCTACATCTTCTTCGCTGTCGTCATCATCACTACGAATCCCACTGGGGGTAAACCGATTCTGGTATGCTCTTCGGCACAAGAGACATACATTGTAGTAATAGCTCACCAGATCTTCCCTTCTCTTCCTAGGGAACTGCTTGATTATCTCATCCCAGAAACACCTACCTGATGATGGGAGATTGACCCCGCTCACTATAGCCATGAACCTCTTCTCTTCATCTTCCGACCAGTTGGCTTTGACTTCTTCGCCCATCCTATCGAAGCTCCAGTCGTAGAATGCTTTCCCTAGTTCACGCTTCAATTTCAGCCTTCTCTCCTTGATGTGAAACCTCACACACTCCACTGATTTTGGCACTTCACACCCACACGAGTCAACCCTTCCTTTGCCAATAGGCTCTCTCTCGATGATAAGTTTGCTGGGCAGGGATAGGGGAGGCCAAACCCGAGTACCCAACCACCTTGTTTCACTTTCAGAAGCGACGCCACCACCAATCCACTCTGGTACTGCAGCCTGAAAAGCTGGGCCCACAGGGATTGCGCTCTCTGCTGGAAGTTCCACGAAAGAATAATATTCCAAAGAGGAATCACCAGCACCACATGCTCCTTGTGTGTAAGAGTCTGACCCGTTGTGAGTAGTAAGAGAGGAATATGACCGGCAGGTGTGTCCTTTCTTGGATAATCTTGCCCCAGGTGGAGCAAGATTATTTTTACATTTTGATCTCTCTCTAAAATTGTAATTGGTTCCAATGTGATCTTCATACATGCAAGGATGCATCTTCCTGTTTTCCTACAGAAAAGGGAGTAGAGTTCAATTTGCATTAGTCTGGTGCATTATTGATCCCCATCATAATTGCACCCCTACATAAGTCAAGCACAAAAGGAGTAGATAGATTAAGGATATAAGCAACCAAGGGTACATGATCACGGCTACTTTACCCCCCAGATGTTTTATCTAGTCTAGAAATAAACAAAAAGAGAAAAGTCAAAACTCAGACTGCAAACGTACTATTAGCACGTACCAGGTCTAAATGGTAAGAGACGCTGATGTAAAATGAGCAAAAGTATATATCCAAAACAAAAGGAGCATAACAGACTTCTTCTCTTGAACAAATGATTATTCCACTAGAAGGGCAACTAAGTGCTTCAATATCAGATTTTCTTGCCTATCCTTGATCTATTCCGAATTGTAAGCTGCTTAAAAGAAACAAACCCCTTTGATCCAGTCAATTAAAGAGGTGAAGGACAAACGAGACAGTTTGTAACCCTAACGTCATCGTCACAAAAGTACTCTTGATGCAACTCCAGTTCATCCACTTAATTCTCACTTGTGTATCACAATCCCTACAATGCTAGTAGGTTAAACCACACTATTGGAATCGGTAGACTCCAGCAAATCTAGTCTTCTCAAAACAGCACTCAAGAGGAAGAATTTGAGAAAGTAGAGGGTCAATTATTTGAACGACCAGAGAGTTAATTTATTAGAAAAATGGTAACAATTATCTGAAACATACACTATCAGAGTTGTTAAGAATAATGAAAAAATTCATCCAGGAATACTAATTCCTGAGTTTGAAAAAGTAATCAATTGGATTATTGTTGGAAGTGATTGCTCTGCAAGGTCTATGCAACTCGATAAACAAGTGAATAGAGAGAGTGTGGCAAAAGTAAGAATTTCCATCATCAATATCAATGCCCACGGAAATCCAAGTATGAATCAAATAATAATACGTAACATGAGGCACGAAGACCGTAGAAATCCACCATCTAATGGGATAGATGGGGACATTACTAACAGTTCGACCATCCTATCCTACTAGAATAAGGTATAGGTTTGTTGAATTCTATTGTTGATTAGGGAACTAATTCCTGAGTTTTTAGAACCCACCCTTATGCATACAAAGAACGAACAGAAGCCTAGAATCACTATAAGAGAAAAAACTAATGCCTAACCTGCCCCAGAGATTTGGATCTAAATATTTCTCTTAACTACATCAACAGCAAATTCAGTTTGCTTGGAGCAATGTAAACCACTAAACTAATATCCACAAAAGTAAAGTCAAAAGCTTAATTCTGCATACGTCTCCTCCTTATCCAATGATCTTCAAACAACAAAACATAGTCATCACTTCTATATAGACCTCCTTAAAACTCTAATGGATTATAAAGTCAGCTTATGACCCTGTTATCAACTTTAACAAATCATTCGGAGAAAGAAATATTAGAGTGCAACTGATACCTGCCCATTGGAAGCAGGACTTGACATTACATCTCGCTTATCGAACAATTCCTCCCTAGCCAATAAAACCTGCTTCCACAGCTTTTCACTCCCGTACAACTTCCACTTAGACTTGTCTGGCAATTGCTCAACTGTAAGATCACAGGGATTTCTGGCAATCCTGTAAAGCCAATTTAGCATTTCAGATTTCGACCCTCGTTTCCTCTTACGAGAAGAAACTGGTTCTTCAACAACATTCTTATCGCAGTCCATGTCATCAGCACCCTCGTCATCGCTCCCTTTATCCATCTCATCTGTTCCAACCACTGCACTTTTGACATCCTCCTCATCTCCAACTTTCATGCTTCCAGAAGAACCAGATGGCATGCTTTCATCAACATATTTGCTTTTGTTGTTGTTGTTGTTGTCCCCACAGATAGAAGAATCCATTACAAACCTATTCACCGGTTCCCCTATCGACTTCCTTGGTTCCACACCATCAACTGTACTCCTTGCAGAGTCCGTATAACTAGAGTATTGCTCGCCATAAACTGAATCAGCTTCCATACTTGGACTGCAATCAGATTCTAATTCAGAATACTTCAACTTCTGCATCTCGGATAAAATTCCGTTCAATTTATCCCCTGAAGACATCGAAACCTCACACCCGCCACTATTTCTCAATTTCTGGTTCAAGTCCTTATCGACAACAAGACTCTCCAACTTCTTCTCTAAATCGAACAAGTACTCGACATACACTAATTTCAACGTCGGTCCAAAGCTGGAGTCCAACTCCAAATCTTCAGCAACGGAATTCCACAACCCATCCCTACACACAACACCATTCCCACCTCTCTCCCTCACAACCAAAAGCAATTTAAGCAAATTCAAAGATCTTCCATCGGCAAGCATCGGAGGGAAGAACTTAACAGAATCTAGAGCCCCAGACTCCTTGAGAAAATCTTTCAGAAAGTTGTCAAACAAAGAAGAACTTGCCGTCCCAGATTTCAGATTTGCCAGGAATTCATTCCGCCCGAGACTTTCCCCTGATGTTCCGTCCGAATCTCGGGCTTGCTCTTCAACATCTATTCCCGACCACCCTGCCATCAACATTCAAATCCAAAACCCTAAGCACGAGTAATTTCTTCCACAGCCAGAGAAAGGACACATCGTTGAAGTATTAAGACAAACATCGACATGCTACAAGTCGATCTACGCAAAACGATTCTAATGCGGCAAGTGGCTAAAGGCACCTAGAGAGCATCTGGGCTCGACCCTTCACCCTTGGGTTAGTGGGTTTTGGTGGGAAAATGCATAATCTAGGGTTTTGAAGCCCCGAAAATTTCGTTTGCGGTTGCGCGCGCCTGCGCGTCTTTAATTGCAGGCGCGGGGCAGAAAGGAAATCGTGAAAAGAGAGGCGAGTTTTGAACAGACGCCAAACCCACAAAAGAACGCTGTTTGGTTCGTGAGAAAATACAAGTGGAAAATAAGAAAAACTGTATATATGTATTACCAGTTACCAGAGTAGTTTTCTTCTTCTTTTTTTCTATGGGGCTCGAGTTTTTGTAGTCTTTCCTTCCAAACTTCAAAGAGGTATCAATCATGGAGAGAGAGAGGACAGACCTTGACTCCTTTTTAGGCCTTCTCTTCTCTTCCTCCCTCCAAAAGCCAAAACCCTATTTTGCCTTTTCCTTTCTTTGGTTGTTTGAGGAAGCACCTTTGTGATCAAGGAGTTTATATGATGCAAGAATTGTGCCATAGAAAACCCCTCCCCATATTTATATGGGGTTTGATTAACCTAACCCTAGTTTCTTTAGGAACTCTTGGGTTGGGTTAGACTTTTAGGTTAATTCATTTCACTAATCCATGGAATTACAAATGATATGGACAATAAGCCCATGAATATTTTACCTACAACCCAGTTTATCAAAGAATTGGCCCAACATACCAAGAATTCCAAACTTATACTCCTTTGAAGTTCTTCTTTGCTTGATGGATTTGATGATGAATTTGGATCTATGTTCAAAGTCCATTGTTTGCTTCATGTATTTTGTGGGAACAAATCTGTGGACTCCATGGACTTTAGGGGTCCAAATCCGTGGGTCCCATGGACTTGAAAATTCCACCTATTAAGGTGGGACTTGATCATGGAAGAGGGGTAGTTTGGACATAAATGATGGAATCAATGAGGGTAGTTTGGACATTAAAGTCCGTCATTTATGTCCAAACTACCCCTCTTTTATATTTCTCATCTCATACCAATGAGAGTAAAGTAGGTCATTTTCACTTCATGCACACAAATCTAATTAACCAAATCCATCATGAAATCAATGAAACAAACAATGATATTTTACAAGTCCATAATGAACCCAAAACCTTCATATATCCATGATTTTACAAAACCCAAATTTTACCAAAACCTTCATTTTTCAAATTCATGAAGCAAACGACTTGTTACAACTACTTTATCTCAATTCTTTAAGATGAACTGCAGGCAATCTCCTAATGTTGTAATCTCATTAGGTTCTGAATTGTGGATTGATAGATTGTTAATTAATTGGTGTTCAAGGAACCTTATCGGCTATTCCTGGGCCAACAACTCTCTAACCCTAAGACACACTTCTTAAGATCATATTTAACATTAATGAACACAAGAGAGAATGGATTTCTATAAGAAAAAGACAATTTAATTACTTCTTAGTTTCGAATCCCAGAACCACCTAGGGTTCTAATCCAAACAACTAGGGGTTTAGTTAGTTGGACAAAAACATGAAGAAAAAAACATTATTTCAAGAGTATAGAGTAAATTGAGCAGAGTCTTCTCACAATTTGAGATATCATGTGAATTCAGTCAAGTTTCATGTGAATTAAGATATCAAGTGAATTTAATCGAGTTTCCAAGTCTTAGAACCAATTTCATATGCGCGCTCATTTGCTGACAAAAACTCCCAAGAGGTCAAATTTGTGCCAAAAATCTCATCTGTCTCGACTCCCGCTCTACTTCCTCTTTTATTCCCCCCACTTATAAGCTAAGATTGGTGATCACAACTTCAAAAAATGGTGGGGGTTGACCGCTAGTTTCCTTTGTAGTTACAGAATTCGTCGAATTTCGCTCAGAACTAGTGAGGTAGCATCAATATTGGAGACATCCACTCTTGCTTTGAAACTTCTCTAACAACATATGCACTCCATCTACCACCCAGATTTGCTCTCGTCTTGTCCTACACGCTCATCTACGAACCCTCCTCTAAAAATCACCAAAACTATCTCCAACAACATCAAAATGGTCTAAGTGGAGTTCAAACACACATAAAACCAAATAGGAAGGAATTTGACACCAGAATAACCATTGTTGGAATTGAAATGGAGAGATAAATATTAGATACTAAGTGTCATATGCATCACTCTTTGTCTTGAATCTCAACAAATTGATGGATGAAGTTATCAAATTTTGAGAAGACTTCCCATTCTTGAAAATTTTGTTATTGAAGAGGAAGTTCTTTCTTTCCAATGGTACTAAAGGAGCAGAATGATTTTTTCCCAACTCTTCATATGTGGACTCCTTCAATGCTCTTGAAAGACATGATTTGCATGTCATGTCTTTAGTATGATGAGACAAATTAGTAGAGGTGCCAATCAAACATGTTTATGTTGGATTGAATTGGGTTGAGGGTTAGTCGGGTTTGAGTTTATCGGGTCGCGGGTTAGTCGGGTTCATCAAGTTGTGAGTCATTCAATTTGAAGGTTAATTGGGTTCCTGGTCAATCGGCCCACGAGTTGTTCGAGTTACGGGTCAATCGGGTTGCAGGTTGTTTCGATTACAGACATGTCGAGTTGTAAGTTATTCGAGTCAACCCACCAGGTTACTTACTTATAATATATTTGTTATTACACTAATCTACTTTAGTCAATTAGCCATCCTCTCTAAGAGTACAATAATCTATACTATATACATTGTCTTGGTTACTAAATGCTTAACTCCTACACCATCATTTGTAAAAAATGTGATAATCAAATTGGTAAATAATTAAGTATATGAACTATAATGTGAAATAGTTTGCATTTGAGATAACTCAAGTTACGTTATTGTTATAAGATGACTCTTGATAGGTTCTCATTCTTCTATAGCCAATTAATCATCACTTATAAGGCTATAATAAGTTTATTATAGACAATGTCTTAGTTACTAAATGCTAAATTCTTAAACTATCATGTGTAAAGATTTGATAATCAAATTGGTAAGTAATTAAGTATATGATCTATAATGTGAAATATCATGCATTTGAGATACTCGGTTAATGTTATCGAGATAAGCTGATTCATGATATGTTCTGAAACAACCCTACCCTTTTGACTTAAAGAAAACGGTAAATCAACCAAATTGGTTACTCTAGAGTAACCCAACCCGCATTGAAAAGTCAAAATGGTAACCCAACAAATGACAACACTTTAAAAATCCCAAATGAAAGGCCATAACACTTGTCCAACCTCAATCCAAAACAATTAAAACACAATCCTTGAGTTTCCAGTATACTCAGAGTCTCAGACAAAACATGAAATAAACAAAGATATAACAAAGGGTCTCATCTCATTACCACGATCCTGCCGACATCTTCACGGTTGAGGCATCTACTTTCCTCGTGTAATCTCGATCAACACCCCAAATCCTTTATCGCAAATCTACCATTTATGAATTAACGATCCATGGTTAATCCAATCGGTCAAACAGACGTAGAACGACAAAAGGCTAATATTATTACGTTCCTAAGATATTTGAACGTCCAAATGGTCGAGAAAGATGGCGAGATTGGGAGGATTCTATCGGTTTTACGGCTAGCCTACAAACGGGGGAGCTAATCGCCGGTTTCTTCCTCCCCTTTCCTTCTTCCCCCCTCCTTTCCTTCCTCTCCTTCGTCTTCTGCTCGTTCAGAGCATTTGCGGTGGGTTCTGAGAAATTATAGTGTGGATTAAATGGACAGAAAATTACCAGTTATTTATACCAGTTCAAACACGGGCACGGGACACGACCGTGTTCGAACCCGTGTTGCCCCCAATCGTCGTACTCGTTCCATACGTCCTTAGAAGTTTCTCATTGTTGAAAATGCCCGAGTGACATTGCCACGCAACACGGGCGTGTTCAACGCCGTGTTACGCTTCATTCCCCAATTCCTCCAAAATGACCCGTTCAACTTATCTCTATCCCAAAACGAGCGTTTAATGGAACACGGTCGTGTTCCCAACTGTATTCTAGCATGTTTTGCCTTCTTCATCGTTCTTTTTCATCCAACCGTCTTCAAACTTTCGGTCGAACCTTAATCAAACCCAAAATCCAAACTCGCGGAGTTTTACATGTTCCCTAACCTACTATATCCAACATAGTAAAAACATTAATCACAAGAAATTATTATATTCTAAAATATATCAAGTTATTCCATTTTAAATTTAATAATTTACCACTTCAAAATTCATGATTCTTCCCCGTGCTCATATTTGAAAGCATAAAAAATTTAGAACACCAAAAATTTGAGAGCACCAAAATTTGCTAAGATATAATTAGATAAAGCTAGAGAGTCAATATCAAAGGGGAAATTTAACAACATTTACAAACTCAATCTTCTATATCAATATTTTCAATAGCTCAATAACTTCATGAGCTATTACACTATGATTCTATAGACTTGTGTTCTATTTTAAGAGTTGTTAAGTGTTAAGTAAATTATCAATAATTTGAAATGTAGTGTGACATTGTTGTAAAATGTTATTCCATTCAGTACAAATTATTATTTTTACTTTCAACACCTATGCACCCCTAGACGAGCTAGGCGCCAAGTAGGACCCTGACTCCCGTCTAACGCCTTTTGAACCTTGTTTTTATGTGACTTCCAAAGAAGAGCTCTTGAGGTCCAAAGAACTTCAAATTGAGTAGGATAAGTAACGCATAAGGTTTTTGTGTGGAGGCATGAGGATGAGTTTCATGTGCTCAACATCGATGAAATGATTTATGTTCAAGTAGAGATGATAAATGGATTGAATTGGTGATTTGGTGGAATCATGGTTAAATTAAATGAATTGATGGATTCATGGATTGGATCTATGGTGGATTTATGGATTAAATGAAATTGAAATTTGAAGTCAAATATTTCTTTCCTTTCCATTATAAGGAAATAGGATTAGATTAGATGAGGTGTTCTCCATGGCGACTTGCTAGCAATTCAATGGGTTGTTGATAAATAAATATTGAAGAATGCTTTTTTATGGACTTATTGACGTGAGACGAAGCGGGATAAAATGATGAAAGGGTAAGGATTCGTTGTTGTTTATTTGGAAGACAGAATTAAGACGGTTAAGCAACATATATAACTTATGTCCATGTAGAAGATCATAGCATTTCTTTTCGTATAAAAGAAGAATCAGAAAATTGTATCATGATAGGAGAATATAAATCCTAAGCTTTACAACCCATGATACTTATAGAGCTAAATTACACATTCGTACACTAACAAACTACAAGAATAGTCTCTTGTTTCACAAAAATATTAGGTTGTAGGTAAACAAAGGAGTTTCATCCAATCTGAAACCTTAAAATATAAAATTACCAACATTCCATGAAACTCCCTAAACAAATGAACTTAAAACCCAATTTATATAACTGTACAATTTTTCTTCCTCTTTTTACTCAAACACGGAAGAAGAAGCCGACAATCTTTTTTTAAAAGAAAAAAGTCAAACGGTGCTATGAAATTCTATGTTTCCTTCTCATCCTTATTTTTCATTTTTTCCTTCTTTTAGACCAAAAGAAATCACTATGAGAGTGTCTAAATCTTCAAGGGCCTATTATCTAGTATCAGAAGTGGGTAGCATTGAGTCATTTCCCGCTCCCCATTGCTTCATTCTTTCTGATGCTTGTTCAACCTGCAACAAAAAGTTGATGAATTCTACATGTATCAATATATTTAAATATTACAAAAAAAAAGGTAAAATAGATTAGCTAAGATTTACTTTTACCTCCTTGTTCCAATTGGTTTTGCAGATAATGCAAATAAGAATTAATGTCTGTAAAAAGGTCCCAAAAATCATCCCCAGCCAAATCCCCTGTTCAACATCCACCAAATATGTTAAAGAAAAAAATATCAATCTATGAATTTATTATTTAAATATCTCAATAAAAGAATACCTTCATTAACCATAAAAGAAGCAAAACAGAATTACCTTCACATGCATACTTGTTTTGTAACCAAGGAAAAAGCCAAGAGGCAAACCAACAGCATAGTAACAAAACAAGTTTATATAAGCCACTAAAGCTTGCCACCCTCCTCCAACAGCAACCCCTGGACCCAAAAAAAAAAATGCAAACAACCATCCTGAAGTCAAATTGTGAGCCATTTTTTTTAAACTTGCCCCTTTCCAAGCAAAATTACTATTCCAAAAAAATTGATTTATAGTACCTGAGATGACAGGTTGGATGCTGTTAAGGATCATTGTTATCCCTAAAAGATAAGCCAAGTCAGCTACTGCTTTCTTCATCTCATTGCTGTCAGTGAAAATGACAGCAAAATCTTCTCTGGTTGCTAGAATTACTCCCGCGCTAAATATTCCTATGAGGAGAGACTCCGTGCAGGTTACTATTACAGAGTACTTGGTTGCTCTAGGATGTCCTGATCCAAGCTCATTTGAGACCCTAACACTGAGAAGAAGAAGAAAAAAATCAGAAAAATTTGTAGCAGAAAAAAAAACTGCATATGGAAGAATCAAACAAGGAATTGAGACCTTATGGCCGCATTGATCCCGATGAAGAGCATCCCTTCCCATCCATTAATGTTCATGCTGTAACAATAGAAAGAGAATGAAAAATAACCAAGGGTTCGTCGTTTGGGGGAGGAAATTGTAACGGATCAATTCGACACAATTGTCTCGTTTGCCAGCAAAAAATTTTTGGATGGATCAATCTTCCTGAGATAATTTTGAATCGATCCGAGTTTTGAGTCAATTTTAATTACCTGGGGGTGGGGGCAGGTAATTCGAATCGACTCGTTTTAATTGTCTCGTTTATAAAAACGAGACAATTGATAAGATTGACTCATTTCTAGATTGATCCATCCAAAACAACCCCAAATCAGCGATAGACAACACCAAAATGCCTTGTTAATACTACTGAGAAGAGAGAATGGGGTCTTCAAACAAATCATTTCTTACCATATAGAAAGAGACCCAACTGCGATGATAGGATCTTCAAGGTGTCCAGTAAGCACAATTAAGGTCATGAAATACCAAATCTCCAAACAAATCATCACAGCTGAAGCTATGGAGAGTTTGAAGAAACCCCAGAGGTCCTTAAACGCTAACCAGGACAGCCCTCTCCAGCCTTCCTTGCACCATCCAACGATGTAAACCACCTGAGCCAGAGCCAATCCCCAAGCCGAGATGTCGTAAGCCACAGCAGCGCCAGTCAGCCCCCATTTGAAGATGTAGATGAAGAAGTAGAGCAGAACTATGTGGATGACGAAAGTCACAAAACCAATCCACGCCAAGAACCCAACGTTGCTCTGCGCCTGCAGAAATTTCTGGGTAGGGAAGTTGAGGGCCAGAGAGAACATCTGGGGGATGACCTGAATGGTGAATCTGCCGGCCAGTTCAGCGATGTCGGGCTCGATTCCGAGGAGCTTCAGGATTTCCGTGGCGTAGAGGTAAAGCGGCAGCAAGAAGAAGCAAGCACCAAGCAAGATGAGCCATGATCGTTGCATGTATACCCCGAGCAATTCAACTTGCCCTGCGCCGAAAGCTTGCCCGCAGAGTGTCTCCAATGCACTTCCCATTCCAAGCTACAAAAAAAAAAAAAAATGGTTAGCAAAACTGTAACATCCCGAACCTTTTTCCCGACAAGATACTTGTCCGCTTTGGGCCTCGACACCCGCACACGGTTTTCGTGCTTGGGGGTGCAATTCAGGGTGACTTCCCATAAGGTCACTCATCCTTGTGAGCACGTTTAACTTCGGAGTTCTCACAAGAACTCCTCCATTACACCCCAAAACGCGTCTTGTCAGTTAAGGTCGGTTTCTTACTTATGAACCATGGATCTCTTCCGTGCTTTGTCTATGTGGGATTCGCCCAAAGTGTTACAAAAACACTATTGAGGAAAAGAAAAGAAAGAAAGAAAAAAAACAAGTAAAGATTCAGGAATTGAGGGGTTGAAAGAAGGAAGGCAAGCTAACCAAGAAGCCGAAAGAGAAGTTTGCAATAACAGAGAGGGAAATGGCAACAGCAGAGAGCTCAACGTCCCCAATGTGTCCAACAAATATATTGGTAAAGGAATTGACCCCATAATTGCAGAGGATGTTGAATGCAATAGGACCTGCAATCCCCCACAACTTGGATGACTCCATAACACATATGGTTTTGGCATCTTGAAAGTTCCGCACGGGAGGGTAATCTCCACACTCATCCAGGACCAACTTGGAGGGAGCATGGTGGAGCTCTGTCATCTCGAAGCCACCAACTCCGCCATCGTCTGTTGATGATGGCGGATCAGTGCTTCGAGGGGCAGTTTCAATCAACAAAGGGGACATTCCCGAATGTAAAACAGCCATGGGTGGTGGTGGGTTTTGCTTCGGGGAAGACTTATTAGTAGATGATGGTGACGATGATGAAGAAGTGCTGCTCTGCCCTGCACCATGGGCGCCATTTTCCTTAGTATTCGCAATGTTTGCGGCAATGAGATTCAACCCCTTGTTCCTTTCTCTTGGTTCTTCCTTTTTGTGTTAGGTTACATGGGATGGCAATTTTTTTGGTAGAATTTTGGGAAGCAACTTCTAGATATGTTGAAAAGAGGAGGGGGAAGGGTTTTTCTTTGGTTTTTTTTTTTGGCATGGAATTATGGGCGACGGACAAGCAACAACCTATAAACATGGAAGACCATGAGAAAGGAATTCAGAATGAATAGAATTGCAAGAAATAAGAGAGATAGAGAGACAGTTGACCGAGTCTTCATTTGGGTTATCGTTTGTTGATTCGTTAAAATATAGTCAACGTGGAAATCTATTGAGATTTTCCTTCACATGGATACACTGGGAATATAGGGCAGCTACTATTATGGGATGAGGAGGATTTTCCCCTTCTATTTGTACTGTATTACTTTGAAATAAAGGTTATTATTATAAGTAACTAAGTGATTTTCTTATATATATAAGCGCTCTTCCATGTCATTCATTTTAACTCCAATTATAGGCTATAATTATGATGCATAGCATCATATCAATATTTATACAATTTGAGAGCAAAATTGAATCCTGGTTAGCTTATCCATTATACAACAATAGTGTACCATAAAACACACGACTTACTAGCTACTATATTGAATCAAGTAAAGCATAATCAATCAAACGGTGCAGTATCGTGAATTTTTGTCAAATTAAGTAGTCGATGATGTTGACTGTTAATGAATCAGCATGCTCTGCTGACGTGCATGTCACGTACGCAATAAAAATTAATATATTGATAATTTAATAAAATTAAAAAAAACAGATACGCTGACGTTAATGAATCAGCGTGCTCTGCTGACGTGGAAATTTATGTTTATGATAAGTTATGTTGGTACCATTCAGTTGTGTAGACAACACGCGATTACTTTACTTTCCACTAGGTGGAAGTTTAATGATTGTGAGATGTCTTCTCATTAGGTGGAAGCTCACATATAAGTATGTTGTGGTTGGTGTGCTAGTTGAGTCGAGTTCGAGGCCCCCTTTTATATGAAACAACACGAATCATGTACTAACCATTGTACGAGCATATTTATTTATTCAAGCATGTTGTTCTGAGTTTTCCCCCATTAAAGCGAAACTAGTATAAGGACTGACTCCAACGTCCGCACTCAGGAGTTGCAGGAGAACCATGTACACTTCCAAAAATTTAATTACTGTAAGACATGACAACCGAATGACTTCCGGCTCCAGAGGACTTCCAGTCTGATGAGTTTAATTCGATATTTTAGCAGGATGAGAGACTTGATGTGATTTTACGATGAGTATTATTACGTCAAAAAATTTCAAACTATGTTGACTTTTTTGTCTACTGTATTATTTGATACGACATTTTCACTGTTGTTCAATTTTTTAATATTCACTACTTGTCAAGACAAGAGTAGCATTTTGTTAAAAACTTAAAACTAGTGTCTGGCCAAATTAGAGCGTTACAAATAATCAAGACCATTATTGTTAATATAATAATATTAAGGACTAATCTCATCATTTTTCATTTCCGGAATCTTTTTGTTCCCTTCTTCGCAGTGCCACAGCCCACAAGCAACCTTCACCCGCTATTTCTCCTTGTAAACTCCAATTCTCTCTCTCTCTCTGGAAGCAGCAGACGCAGAAATAGCAGTTGAGTTGTCAAGGATTAGAAGAAGAAGAAGAAGAAGAAGAAGAAGAAGAAGAAGAAGAAGAAGAAGAAGAAGAAGAAAACCATGTCGTCCCCGAGCAAACGCAGAGAGATGGACTTGATGAAATTGTTATTACCTAACCCATTTCCCCTTCAATTATTTGTTTTCCTTTCGGGTTCCTTACTTTGTTCCACTGGTTCCCTTCTATCTGTACTTCACTCTTTAATGGCTTTTTTTCTGATCGGAAACGGTTGTCTTTTTCTTTTGGGTTAACAGGATGATGAGTGATTACAAGGTAGAGCTGATCAATGATGGGATGCAAGAATTCTATGTTCATTTCCACGGACCCAGTGACAGTAATTATCCTTACCATCGGCACCTTCCTTATTCTCTAGTCTTTTCTGGGGCTGTGTTAATTTTCGGCTTCATATTTGCTGACTCTATGGGGGATGATATGGAGATGTGGGAACAACATAGTTTCAGGTTCCATTGGCTTTTTTTTGTGGGTTCTTATAGCCCAATTGACAATAATTAGGCCTCAGATTGTTCTTGTTGTACTAGGTTTCAGCTGTTCGTTCACCTTTCTTACTGGTGTTTCTTGACCCTTTTGTGGAAATCCCAGTTTTATACTGATATATATGATATCCTCTTTTGGTGTAATGGGTTTATACTGCAAGGTCCATACGATGGTGGAGTGTGGAGAATTCGAGTCGAGCTGCCGGATGCTTACCCCTACAAATCCCCGTCAATAGGTTTCATCAACAGGATCTACCACCCTAATGTTGATGAAATGTGAGTCTTTCCTCTTCTCTGTGCTGAAACTTTTTAACATTTCCATGTGAGTTCCTTTTCATTACTTTACGAGCAGCTTGTGATACTGACCATCTCTGTGGGATGGTGGTGGTACTGAACTGTTTGTTCATTGCAGGTGTGGCTCAGTTTGTTTGGATGTCATAAATCAAACTTGGAGCCCCATGTTTGGTAAAAAGCCTCTGTTAGTTACCGGGTTTTTTTTTTTGTAATGCAGGCTTTCTTTCTATGCTTTTGAGAACATAAAAGCTCTGGTCTGACGTATGGAACTTCTATCTTTGGTAGATTTGGTGAATGTGTTTGAAGTGTTTCTTCCACAACTTCTCTTATATCCTAACCCATCGGATCCGTTGAACGGTGAGGCTGCTGCTCTCATGATGCGCGACCGCTCAGCCTATGAACTCAGAGTTAAAGGTTTGGTTTCTCTGTGATTCTTCGTTTTATCTACCATGCCTGTTTCTGGTTGATAACCTGAGTTGCTATTTTAAGGTACTAAGAATTGCTATCCCCCGTTTTGTATCTATTGCTTACACCAATCCTGCTGATTAAGTAGCCATAACTAGATGTCGCTCCCCTAAAAAATATCTGAAACATAGCTTTAAGGCCATTTTGTGGACAAAAGAGATGGCTTCAAAAAATGAGCTCCGGCAAAGGTCTATACCTTGATTTGGTTTGATTCACGAGTTTGATTTACGATATGGTGCTCATTTCCTTTCTTGACTCGTGAACTGTCAACTGGCAGAATACTGTCAGAAATATGCAAAGCCAGAGGATGCTGGAGCAACGGCAGAGGAAAAGGAGAGTGATGAGGAATTGAGTGAAGATGAGTACATGTCCGATGATGAGATGGCTGGGCAAGCTGATCCTTGAAGCAGAACTCGGCGGCCTGGCCTCTTCTTTGCCCTTACAATGTTGTATCATATGTAAATTATGATTGTATAATTTGGATTGTTAACTTCAGCTGCACCATCAAAAGCCTGCTGATATCTTTGCCGGGCTTTGATATTGTTGTAGAACTGCAGCCCTGAAATGCTGCTGCTACTGTCAATTTGTACATACATTTCAATCATCTTTGTCAATTGGACATATCAATCTGTGTATCATTTGTACATACAATAAAATCCCTGCTACTCCCCAGTCACCCAACACAATTCCAACTGAAGTATGCAACTTAGCTTGAACATTCATCTTATCACCTGTTCTAAAGTACACAAAAATTCATATTCATGAATCTAATTGATGAATGTATCTTTTTATGGCAGTGGGAATTTCCAAGAGATAGAGTCATCGTAGTCTTATCATGCCACGCAAGATGAAGGAGTAATCAACAACATCAATCTTGGACCGTAAAAACAGAAGTTGGTTGGAATCCACGAAAACATTTTCAAGCAAATATTGACAAACTGGATGAACAGTTGATGACACAACTCAATATGATTACCGTTGTATAAACAGTTGATAACACATATCATTCTGATTAAAGCTGCATGAACAATTGATTTTACCACTCAATATGATTAAAGCTGGCAAACTAATTGATGGCAACACTCATTCTATAAAACATGTGAAGATTCATGGCCATCACGTATTATTTTGATTTCGTCATTGATAATGTCATATTTTATTAGCAATGAAATGAATTATGTCCAAATAAAAAAAAATATAAAAAATGTTTGTATTAATTAATTATCACTCTTTTCTTGTCTGTTCTTGTTTTTTCCTTCTGTTTTTCCTTTTCCCACTCCTTGTGGGATCTCTATATCTAAACCTTCTTCAGGTTTCTTTCGTTTAATTCAAGTTCATCATCATTATAAAAAAATTATCACTCCCTATGTAAAAATAATGATCATTATATTAAAATAAAGTGACGAAATCAACTATAGATTGATTTTGCTAAAAAGATGTTCAACCATTTACCCCATTTTTCACCCTCACATTGTCACCAAACCCTTCCCTCCACCATCGTTTCCCTATTTTCCCACCCTTCTTTCCCTCCCACATTGTAGGTGGTCTTAGCTTTTTAAATCATTCATGATGTAATTTTGTATTTACAAAAACTTGATAAATTAAATATATGTCGAAACTATGAAAAATATCACTCTACATGTATCAAACAATTATTTATGATTTAGTTCAACATTTGCTTTTGACTGGTGTTCTTTGTCAAAACTGTTTAGTATCAATAACTCGAGTTGTTGGGAAATATCTAGTAATGGATCTCATACTATTTAATTTTACTAATACTTTTCCGCTAACCAAAACCAACTTATAGGTGCTTAAAGTTTTCGCAAATTCGAAAACAAAGGAGTCCCCCGTTACACACTCCCTACACCTGATCGAAATAAAATTAGTTTTACAATTTAGCTATGATTTGGTGGAAATTTGTTGTATATATATACTGAATAAGTATATCTTTAATTTTGGGCGGATCATATGCACCATTGTCATTTGTACGTAACTCGTTATAAAAACATTGAATATACTAATACACAACTTAAAAATCATACATCAAATATTTGAAAGGTCAACCATTCTCATTTAAATACGTGTTATTTTCATACCCTATTAACTATTATATCTAATTTATCATTTTCTCTCCTGAGCGAGGATGGGTCCCGAAACCCAACTTCTAAGTTCTAACCCTCTTCCTCCGCCCCTGCATATTAACCGATCTAAATATCAATTTGGTGTGATAAAATCCGATGCGAACCAAACCGCTAGAGTGGCTGGGCGGCAAGAGACAGATACAGAAATCGTACAAATCGATATTAAACAAAAAAACGACAGGATCTTTAGTCAACTAATTAGCCTATGCATTAGTTGACCTAACTCAACTGACCTTTTTCCCAACGCAACCACAAATTAAATTCTACTCCCTTTATGAAAAACTAGTAAACTACCAACTCTACTCCATTTCCACGTAGTAAAGCCATATTCAACCAATGTTACATGATGCGAACCTCCCAGCATCAAAAAAAAAATCTAAAAATAATTAACTTAAGAGAGACAAAATTTCCACCTCACTCATTTTATCCAATTTTTATTTTATTTTTTGGATGGGTATATACCATTTGAGGCGAGGTAGTTAGGGATGGCAATTAAATCAATGATCGCGAGTACCTCATCAAATACATTTTTTCATATATAAATAATACATGGATCAAATTGTAATCTATCAATGATAAGGAAGATAACTCAAGAAAATAAATAATAGAAAGACAATTGAGTGGTCATCCAAATCAACACTGAATTATTTTTCTTCAATTCGCCCTTCATTCTTTCACTTTTCCCTCTTGTTAACAAGATAATTATGTTAGTTAATTATTACTTACTAGATGTATTAGAGTTAGAGAATTATGATTTAAAAAATATGATATTTTATCCTTTGGATTAATGGTTGTTTTAGGATCATATAATTTGAACCGTATCAAGAATGATTGTATTTTTGTTGACTTCATGATATAGTAGATCCATCATTGTTATAATTGAAAATTTATATATAAATTCTTAGGTACAATAATGTTGGATGTACCAGGGGTATCACCCACGGGTATCCGAAACCCACGGATACAGAGATGAGCTTACGAACCGCATGGGTACGGGGCGGGTAAGGATTTTGATATTCAAAACGGGGATGTGGATGGTTTAGACAAACCCACCCCATTGTCATCCCTAGATGCAGTACTCTCCTCAATCTGACATGCTCTCATCTCTCCTATTTTCCATTTGTTTTTGTCTAAATTAAATGTAATGACTCAACTTGTTTAGGATTTTACTTTTATTACCTCATATTTTAGTTTTAATAAAGTTGTGAATAGGTGTGGGATGTTAATTCCTAAAAAAATTTAACTACATGTATCATGTTATAGTTTGTTATTTTCCTTTTTAAATTGCATACTCATGTGAGTCGACATGTCAGCCACTCGCACTCATGTTACTCAACCTGCCACGAAATAATTATGGGTATCGAGATTTCCACCCGACATGCACATAATCCCTCCTAATTACTAAGTAAAAAAAAACTAAAATAAAATAACATATATCAATGGTGCCGCTTTAAAAAATGCGGCACCGGTGACGCTGTTTTCTATTGGTCCACGTGGAGCTGACGTGGCCTAGGCTGGTTTATTATTTCGGGCCCAAAGCCTACTGACCCATTGGAATTGGCCGAACCGAAGTCGTACCCAACAAACGGAAGCACCTATATTTCACACAGTCGTTTTCAATTTATTTTATTTTACAGTAATTCATTTTAAATTAATTTAATTTTTAACTGCATTTGAGTTTTATCCTGAATAAAAAATGAGCGGAACGAAAACCGAGGAGCGTCTTTTTCGAGCTCTCGGTCCAAACTGCTCCGGCGAGAATCATTGAGAATACAAAACTGCTCCGGCATACTCCACCCTCTCCGATCGGAACTCCATATCCTCCAATAAAATCATTCACCGTAGCGTTTCTCCCTTCTCCGAATTGGACCCGGTATTTGGCGGCGGCGCTTTTCGATGGTGACAGAGGTTTGCGAACAACTCACCGGGTTAATTTTGCAGATGGGATCGGCCGTAAACAATTCACTGGCATGATTTTGGAAGAACGCCGGAGACGGAGATGGGATTGACCGCGAACAAGTCACCGGCGCGATTTAGGGAGAAGCCGGAGATGGAGATGGGATCGACCGCGACCGAATCACCATCACGATTTTGGGAGAACGGCGGAGAAGGAGATCGAGGAACAGCTGGTTCGCCCATCGTCGCCGTTTTTCAGTTTTCTCAATTTTCTGGAAAACAAACTAATTACATTTAATTAATAAAAATATAATGACAATTTGGCCAAAAAAATGGAATTGTTTGGGGTTTGACGGAGAAGGATTCTCCGTTTGAATGGGAGGGGCGGGTTGGTTCCAGTACCGAGTACTTATGGAATTTGGGCTTGGGTCAATCAAAGCCAGCTCATGCCACATAAGCTCAACGTGGCCCAATCAAACGCAGCGGCACCGGTACCGCACTTTTTAGAGCGGCACCGTAGCATTGGCCTATATCAATTCCTACAATTAACAGTAATTATCTATTCTAGAAGCCAGGAAATTAGTCTCATCGACAGATCAAAACCATGCCATTATCATTAAGAAAATAGTTTAATGAGTACTTTTTTTGAATCCATGACCATGAGGGTTATATACTTATATCTATAAAACTAGTGTGGCCCCGGCCAGTTGGCCGGAGGAAGGTGAAGTATGAAATTTGATAAGTATGAAATTTGTTGTACAGTTGTTTTTGGAAACACGTGATAAAAATAGTGAATTTTAGCAGGAAAGAGACACGAATGATGCAACGTATCAAAAATCAGCCTTATGAACCAAAATCAAGTACATGTTACCTTGTGAAACAATATTGTTTCTGATAATATGATGAGGAGGAATAAGTTTTATAGAAACCGAATTCCAGAAAATCGAATAAAAAATTGCCTATCCCGTCGGTTTTCGGGAAATGAGCATCTCACAATCGTTGCTAGCTTTTACTCGTCCCGTTTACCGATTAATTTGTTTTATATCTTGTCGTCATTGTGCTTTTTGGTTTTTGCCAGGCCATGATAAAATCTAAAGAAATCAAGAACGAACAACACGATTTGAGATAGGAACCGTCGTTCCTGTATCCCTAGAAAATGTTGGTAAACTCGGACTCACCTGCCAAACTGGTTTGGATTGAGATTTTTATCGGGTATCAGGGAACCATGTGATTATAAATTAGACTTGATGAAAACGGGCCAAAACTTGAAATTCAGCCTGTTTGACCCACCCATGCCAATCTCTAATTATTCTTTACTTTTAAACTTTCTATTTGAAAATAAAAAAATAGTGAAAGAAAAGAGATGACTACAATTCCCCATTTGCACATCACTGATTCGGGAATAAAACCATAGAAATTCGAAAGGAAACTAAAAATGTTTAGGATCGTTTTAATGTTAAAAATAACCAAATAGATCTTTCTATTTAGTTTTTTACTAACACATACCACACGATTCCCTATAAAATACA